GAGTCTGTTGGCACTGGATAAATGTTATAATCTGCATGACTGCAGATGACTCAAACTTTGCTCAGCTCTTTGAAGGGCTAGGGGGCCTTGGCAGCTCTCCATTTTGATGTCTTCTGGAGATTGACTATTGGCAGCTGAAGGAGCCCCAGGGTTTCTGGGTGGCCTGGTGCTGCCTATGGAGTGAGAGTGTGGGGCCGTGGGCGGGGCTCCAGAGCCCCACCTCCAGCCCGCCCCTGCCTTCTGATTCCCTCCGCTCCCTCTGGGCCAGCCTCGTTGTCAGCAGGAGCAGGAGTGTGGACGCTCTGGATGGTGAGTGCCTCTTCCCAGGTTTGAGCTGCCGCAGGGTGGGGATGAGGGGCCATGTGTGGGGGATGGGAGGTGTCTCGTGGAGCTCCAGTTTCTTCCAGGGAAGAAACCCTGGAAATTGAAATGATGAGGAAGCGAGAGTGTGCAGACTCCCAAGTGAGCTGTTCGGATACCTGATGTCGCTGGCGTGCTTTAGGAGCCTTAGCATTCACCTTGTCCATGCGCCTCATTTTGAGGTTGAGGGAAGCGAGGCTGGGGGAGGGATCCACCGAGCATGGCCTAGGGAGCCCAGCTGGGTCTCCCCCCACCCCCATGCTCTTCCCGGACCAGAGCTGCCACTCTGAGCTGCCACAGCTGTCGTGTGTTTGTGGTCTCATCACGCTTCACCCTCTTCTGAGGCAGAGGACTGGGTCAGATCCGTCCCACAGTGGGGAACTGAGTGCTGTAGCCATGTCAGGTGGGGCTGGCCGTTCTGTAAACAGCCTTGCTATTGTCTTTCAGAGAAACTGACCCTTTCCTGAATGGAAGGGAGACAGAAAGGGGAAGAAAAAGAAGGGACAACTGTCATATGGTCAATTTCCTTTAGAATAAACATGGTTTGACTATATTTGATGACTGAAAAAATAAGTTGGCCTTTTTTAATTCTCTTTAAGACAAAAGGGATCATACCACTTGACCTCCAGAAACTCACAAATGGATGCCTGGGGAGGCAAGGTGTGACAGTAGAAAGACTACAGGCCTCGGAGTCCTAGGGAATTTGGGTCCAGGTTGTAGTACTGATGCTGGCTCTGTGACCCTGGAGAAGGTACTGAACTTCTCTGAATTCCAGTGTTGTCAGCGATAAAACAGGATAATATCTGCATAATGAGACTGGTGAGTGAAAGAAATTAGGCCAAGTGTGTGGCGTGACACTAACTAAATGCTGGTTTACTGGCTTCCCTCTCCCTCCAGTTAGTAGCCTTAGAGGCCATGTGAAAATGCGTCGTTCCGCTCAGCTGTGAAGGCTCCCTCTCCCCCTCCCCTGTTTTGTGGGTGGGAATGGCTGTGATTGAGGATTCAGAGTCAGCTCTCACTGCGCAGCAAGTTGCAGTGTGGCACATGCTCCAAGAAGGGCCAGGATGGGAATTGCTTTGTAGCTCGGGAAAGCTTGGCTGAGGGGCTGGGCCTGCACACTCTGTAGGTGTTTCCAGAAGTCAGTTTTCACTCCTTCCCAGCAGCAGAAGAGCCAGATGCTAGAGGCCCAGGGGAAGCGTGTGTTCACGGAGAGGCCTGACTCTCACCTCCAGTGCTAATATTGTATCACATCCTCGTGCTGCAGGGTGTGAGGACGAGGTCCAGGCTCCCCAAGGGGATGACTCTGCTCACACTTTCTGGGTCACAGCCAGAGGTGTGGTGGGGTGGTAAACGGTGCACCTGGGGGTTTGAAGCCCACGTCTTGTACTCCAGCTCTTGAACTTGAGGTAGAGAGTGGGGGGCGTTTGGGATGTGGACGTTTGCATTCTCGGAGTGCCTTCAGCACTGACTTCCACCCCCAGCTGGCCTATTCAGCCCAGGCCTGGCCTAGCTCCTCCATCCTGCCCCCAAGTCCTACGCCGGCTCCAAAGACACTTCCTTCTGGATACTTCTATGGCTGCCTAGACCAGATATAACTGGCTCGCATCCCTGCACCACCATAGCCCCATGTTCATACCTTGGCCAAGCTGCCTCACCTTTCCACTTGAATTTCTGTTGTCTGTGTACTAGGCCTGTATCTCCTTGAGCATTATGTATCATTTAGTTTTATGTCCTCCCAAGTTCCCATTTATTGAACAGGTCAGTGCTGAATAAATGTTTGGAAATAAATGTTGAGTCTAGTTGAGTCTGGCTCCCTTATATCACGAGCAAACACACTGAACGACTGTTGACAGGCAGTGGGGAGATGGAGTCTCTTTGCCTCCAAGAACAGCGGTGCTGTGTTGAGAGGATGTGGAGCTGACTGTACTCCACAGGGACCCCCTGGACACACGTGCACTCGTGTGTCCCAGGAGCTGAAGCAGGTCCATTTGTAGGGTGGACATAAGCTGGCCTTTGTGTACTGGCGCAGAAATGATATCAAACCTGTGATCAGAGGCCACGCCATGTGCTCCTGAATCATACACACATCTGAAATCCAGGGACGCTTTGGGAATGTGTAAAGGTACAGAAATACTTCCAGGCTCTGGGGAGTCTCCTGTTTACAGCAGGTAGGTGAGAGCTGTGGTTTTCCTCCTAATTGTTCTGTGAACTTTAATCCAGTAATGTGTCACTTGGCCACGTAAAAGAGTTGGAAGCTGGCCTGTGGAAGGTTCTTTCCTGCTTGGCCCAAGCACTGTGGTCCTCCAGAAGTCGTCACCTTCATCATTCACATTACGGAGAGCCCACCGTGTAACCAGTGTGCTGGGCACGGGAGATTCAGAGATAAACTGACAAACAGAGTCAGGGGCGAGAACTGGCAGATAGGTCCACGTCAGTGTGTCCAGCACATCAGAAGGATAATGGGTACACACTAGGCACAGTACCAAGGTGAGGGTGCATGAACATCTCTTGGGGGTGGGAGTGGGGGAAGGCAGAGCGTCCAGGAAGACTTCTGGAAGAGGTGTCTGAGTCTTGAGTAGAATGAGCGAGGTAGGACATTCCAGGCAGAGGCGTGGACAGGTGTTCAGGTCTGCCTCTCGCCATTGCTGCTCTCCCACAGTGAGGGAGGGGACGTGCCCAGCTCTCCACGGCAGCCTGCTTCTGTGGCTTATGACCAACCAAGCACAAAATCCTGAGATCTTTCCTCTAAGACAATGCTTCTCAAACTTTAATGTGTGTTTACATTGCCTGCCGATCTGATTAAAACGCAGTTTATGATTGCTTAGTTCTGAGGTCAGGCTTGAGATTCTGCATTTCTGCATGAGACCAGTGCTGCCCATCCGTGAGACACTTTGTGAGTAGTGAGCTTATAAGAAGCTTTTCCCTCCCAGCACGTCAGAGATACCATAGTAACCCCCTCCCCCAACACACGCAGTGACCTCCCTTCTTTCTCCTTGCCTAGTATACAGATGCCAAATTCCTTTTTCTTAAATGCGGTCTGCATTTGGTCGTCCTACCCCCTACCCGCGCCTGGAAGTTCCCTTTTATTTCTTAACTCAAATCTGAATTTCCCAGGCTGGCTGAAACACTAATCTGGCCTCCCCTTCTCTTCCCAAAGTCATCACCACCAGGTTCCTCCCAACCCCACCTTATGGCAGTGGGTCCCTCACAGCCCCTCCCTTGGCAGTGACATGCAGATGTCCAGGCCTCTGCTTAGTCCCTTGGAGAAATCCTCTCCCCAGCCAAGTCCTGCAAGGGGGAGGTATGTCGTGCTGAGGTGGGATGAGGGTAGGTGGGACACACACACACACACACGCACACACACACACACACACACACACCCCAGGTCTATACCCAGTGAACTCAGCACATGGAATCAGGCTGCTACTTAGGGAAGAAGGCCCAATATAAGTCAGATCGTAGGATGGTGAGGGCCAAGTGGAAAGACGGGTGCTGTAAGTGGTTATCAGGAGAAGGAAGGCTGCGCGGGGTTCCTGCGGCTGTTACGGGGTGGGCTGCTTCCAGGAGCTCGCACCCAGGAGCACAAGGCTTCTCAACCAGAGGAAGGCTAGTGAGGCCCCTGGGCACCAGCTGGGAGCAAGGCTGGGTCTGTAGGACCTGCCTGGAACTCCGTTTCGATTGCCGAGCCCCCTATCGGTTACAGACGGCTCTTGCCCAGCCCCTCTGCAGCAGACTCCCAGCACCGTGCTCTTTCTGCCGTATTGCCTGCTCTCCCAGTCTCTACTCCCACTCATTTGACAGGCATTCTTCTAGTTCTGTTCACAGGAAACAGATGTAAGGTTAGACCCTGGTGTTTAGTAGTGGCCAGCTCTGTTAAACTTTGTGATTTAATAGCTGGTAGATATTTACGAGAGATTTGCTTTCTTGTTGACTCTAGTTTTATGTATTGCTTCTTTTTTGTTTTTTTGTTTGTTTTGTTTTCACCATGAGCCTGGTTTACTTGTGTAATGAATGAAAAATAAAGCTATTCTCACTGGGGAGCAGTGTACCAAGATTGCCTGCCTACCATGAGTGAGGAGGCCCTGCTGGGCGCCAGCTGGGGCTGGATGAGCAGGACGCAGTCTCTGTTCCTGAGGGATTCACAGACTAATGAGGAAGGATAGGGTAACAGAACAATGGGACTGGTGTTCTGAGTATCCTCTGGTCACGGAAGAGAAAGCTGCCCCCTCCCCAGGGAGATGGTAGCTGAGACACCTGGACCGTGAAGGGAAGCAGGCATCATGGGAGGGGACTGAGCCTGCCACCAGGGGATGCAGCATGGAAGAGTGCCTCAGAGCTGGGGGGCCCGCAGCCTTGGGCGTGGGAGAGGGAACAGCAGGAGAAGCGTCCAGGGGGGGCTGTCATTTCCCTGTGAGCACACCCAACTCACTGCTGAGCTCTGGGGCCAAGCCTCCCTGTGTCTGTTGTGTCCCCGACCTCTTATAGTGGCAGTGGGCAAGTGTTTAACACGGTCCTGTCTTCGACACCGCTCCCCTCCCCTTGCCTCTGGCCTCCTGGCTGCCCAGCCAGAGCCTTTCCCAGAGATCAGATTCCAGCTATCTCGTGGAAGCAATAATGTCTTCTTCTTTCCTCTTAGTCTCCAGAAATGTCTTTCCTGCAGGATCCAAGTTTCTTCACCGTGGGGATGTGGTCCGTTGGCGCGGGGGCTCTGGGGGCTGCTGCCTTGGCTCTGCTCCTGGCCAACACAGACGTGTTCCTGCCTGAGTCCCAGGAAGCAGCGCTGGAGTATCTGGAGGATGTAGACCTGAAGACACTGGAGAAGGGTGAGCAGTGACCCCACTGGTCCCAGTGCTTTTCCAAGGCGCCAGGGCACAGGCTTACTTATTTTTTTCTTTTTAAAATGGTGCTCTCTCTTTTTTTTTTTTTTTTTGTGAGGAAGACCAGCCCTGAGCTAACATCCAATGCCAATCCTCTTCTTTTTTGCTGAGGAAGACTGGCCCTGAGCTAACATCAGTGCCCATCTTCCTCTACTTTATGTGGGACGCCGCCACAACATGGCCTGACAAGCGGTGCGTCGGTGGGTGCCCCGGATCCGAACCGGCGAACCCTGGGCCGCCACAGCGGAGCGTGCGCACTTAACCGCTTACGCCACCGGGCCGGCCCATCTCTTTTTTTAATTGAAAAGACAATATAACAATGTTAAGAAAAATGTAATAACACTTCTTAAATTACTATAATTCCATTGCCCTTTAATCATTTTTATTTTTGCACATTCCTTTCCTTGTGTACACATAGTAATATGTAGCTGTGATCTTGGTATAAATGATATTTTACATTTTAGCTTTTTCTTATCGAAAGCATTTTTCACTTTCTGTTGTTGTCTCTCTGACTATAACGATAATTGCTCCATAATATTTAGTAATGTTATACCACCATTTACTAAACTAAACCTTCCAGAGTGTGTTCTGAGGAATTCTGAGCACCCTGGATCTTCAAAAAAAGGAGCTCCCAAGTCAAATAAGTTTTGGAAACACTGTGTCTCCAATTCCTGTCCTGACGCTCAGCACCGGGATTTGCACATTGAGATGAGGCGTCTGGTTCATTACTGGAAGGCGGGGTCAGCCCTCGCCCATGGTGCAGCCACAGCACATGAGGAGGCACAGGGCTGCACTTTTAGGATGGGCCTGCCTGTCTGCCTCTTCTTGGGGAGCCCGCCTGGAGTCCCTGCTGGGTGGCTGACAGCAGCACATCTGTGTGTGGTCGCTCTGTGGCCCACTGCGTGCTCTCGGCACTGGATCTGGAGCCCAGTGGGACTCCAGTCATGCTGATGGTTTGGGTGCAGTTGGCGTGAGAGTTTGGTGCACCTTGGGGCTCACTGACTGGGCGGTCTCCAGGTTGGCTCCTCAAAGGGAGGCCATCGTCATCTGTTCAGAAGGTGAGGAAGCTTGTCAAGGGAAGGCAGGGACTGTGACTGCAGATTTAGGACGTCAGTCACCCCAGTGAGGGACTCAGAAGCCCTGCAGACAGAGGGACCTGTTTAGCTGCATTCAACCCAAGGTTTCCCAACCTCATTTGTTTACAGACCTCCCCTCTTTTCATCACATAACATCCCACAGGGACGTGGATTCCTCTGAGGAATGCTAACGTAATCAGGGTTCATACTGACTGAGCCATCCCTGACTCTATGTTACCAAACGCTGTGGGGAGCACTTCATATCCATCGTTTCATACTCCCTGCAGCCCAGAGTGGAGCTGCCAGACATCGGCCTTTACAAACGAGGAAACTCAGGTTCCAAAAGGAGACCTGGCATGCCCAGGTCACACAGCTTGACGCAGACTCAGTCTGACCATGGAGCTGGCTTGAACTACAGTACTGGACTACCCCAGAGCATTTCCTTGTTGGGCATCTTCTACCGTCCCCTATAGATAATATTGCAGTTAACATATTTCGGTTAAAAAATTTTTTTTTTCAATTTCTGTTGACTTAAGTCCTTTGAATACTTTTTAAAGAGTTGGCGTTTTCCTGGCCAAAGTGCAAGATCTCTTTCAGGTTTTGGCCATGTATCTGCCCTACAGGATTGTTACAAGGCCCATCAATACCAGCAAAGGAATTTGCCATTTTTCCAGAAATGTTCCAGTTTGGGATTTTCCAAGTTTGCAAATCGATTTGATGGGGGTGAGGCCTTTAGGGAGACAGCAGGACCCTTACGCTGTTAATTTCCCTCTGCAGGACGGATATCCCCTGTCTGGGTTTCCTGTTTGCTTTTCCCACGTGTGAAATGCCTGTCCAGGACCTCGGCTAGGCCTGGTGCCATTTCTGAGCTGCTTAGCGGTTGGGCTGGGCTGGGCTGGGCTGGCCTGGGAGGAAACGATACTGAATTTGCTTTTCTTCCCCACAGAACCAAGGACTTTCAAAGCAAAGGAGCTCTGGGAAAAAAATGGAGCTGTGATTATGGCTGTGCGGAGGCCAGGCTGTTTCCTCTGTCGAGAGGTGAGTGCATTTGAAGCTCTGTTCAGAGAGAAGGGTCCTAGCAAATGGGGACCAGTGCATTTCCAGCCAGGACCAAGGACCGGGAGGCCCACTGCAACCATTGATCCACACAGCCCATCCTCTTTTATTTGCTTTAGGTATTTCTTTTGACTTCTTCTCTGTTTCTGTTCATTTAACAATTCACCACATCCTGGGGTTAGCAACATACTTGACTTTCCTTTGGTACTCCCAAGGCCTCTCACCCTTGTGGTACTATCTGTGTCCTGGACCGTCTTCCTTCCTTAATCAAGGTTGGGGACCAGGTCCAATTCCTGTCCTGATGCTCAACACTGGGATTTGTGCATTGAGGCGAGGCATCTGGTTCGTTACTGGAAGGCGGGGTCAGCCCTCGCCGATGGTGCAGCCGCAGCACATGAGGAGGCAAAGGGCCGCACTTTTAGGATGGGCCTGCCTGTCTGCCTCTTCTTGGGGAACCTGCCTGGAGTCCCTGCTGGGTGGCTGACAGCGGCACGTCTATGTGTGGTCACTCTGTGGCCCACTGTGTGCTCTCGGCACTGGATCTGGAGCCCGGTGGGACTCTAGTCATGCCGATGGTTTGGGTGCAGTTGGCGTGAGAGTTTGGTGCACCTTGGGGCTCACTCACCGGGCAGTCTCCAGGTTGGCTCCTCAAAGGGAGGCCATCGTCATCTGTTCAGAAGGTGAGGAAGCTTGTCAAGGGAAGGCAGGGTCCAGCCTTGTCACCTTACTGATAGGTAAACCGAGGACAAGAGCGGTTTGGTGACCTATCTGTGGTCATACAGTTGGTCGGTGGCAGAAGACCCAGACTCTGAGAGCACTGCCTTGCCTGGGGGAGAACTGGGGATGATCATGTTCCTGCTCGTGAGACAACTTTCTTCTCAACTGGTGGTCTTGGCCCTGTCCAAGTTGTTGTCGTCCTCCGTCACCCTGAGGCAGTTCCTTTCAGCCGTGCAGGTCCCTCACCTGCTCGTGTGGTTGGGCTGGACAAGAGTCCACTTACATTATGTGATGCCCTGCTGTCCTTCACATTCAGGGCGTGCTCATGCCTGGTATCCCGTTGGTTCCCCACCACATCCCTGGAAAATACATCTTGTTGTTGTTCTTGTTTGACAGAGGAGGAAACCGAAGTACGGAAGTTGTGACAAAGTCACGCTGCTGTGGGGAAGGACATGAATTTCCTAATGTTGCTTAACAAATTATCACACAGTAGTTTTAAACAACACAAATTTATTATCTTACAGTTCTGGAGGTCAAAATTCTGAAATGGGTCTCACTGGGCTAATATCAAGGTGTTAGCAGGGCTGCAGTCCTTCTGCAGTCTGTAGGGATAGATAATTTCCATGTCTTTTCCAGCGTCTAAAGGCCATCTGCATTCCTTGGCTCGTGGCCCCGTCCTCCATTTTTAAAGCCAGCAATGGCCAATCAAGTCTTGCTCACATCTCATCACCCTGACGTTGACTCTTCTGCTTTTCTCTTCCACACTTAAGGACCCTTGTGATTGTACATTGGGACCACCCAGATGATACAGGGTAATCTTCTTTAGGATCAGCTGATTAGCAGCCTAGATTTCATCTGCTGCCTTAACTCCCCCTTGCCATCTAACAAAACATATCTGTGGGTTTCTGGGATTAGGAGGTGGGTGTCCTTAGAGGGTATTATTCTGCCTACTGCCAGAGATGAAATTTAAACTCAGGGATTTTGATTCCAAATCTGTGACGCCTCCAAATGCCAATGTGGAAGCCTGTTGTGACTTGATTTCTCAAGTCCAGTTAAACCCAAAAGTCTCCAAGAGCGACTGCGGTGATTACAGCCTGTTTTCCTGTGCTCTGGTCTCTGTCCTGGCAGAGCGTTTTGTGGAAACTTATGTTTCTAGAAGGATGATTGGACGGCAATCAGAGTTACTTCGAGTCACCATGGGGGAGATGTGTGACTCAAGTTTCCGCTTCACGGCTCTGTACAGCGACACGCCCAGAGTACAGAGTGCAGGAGGAGCAAGTGGGGCCTTTCGTCTCACACGGGTCGTGTTTGACCACATCAGGCCTGTAGTCCTCTCTGCTCTACAGCAAAGTTTGCCCTCACTGAAGCACCTCATAAATGCGTTGTCATGAATTCTGCTTTTTGTTGTTGTTGTTGTTATTCTGGAAAATAAATGGAAAATTAAATGTAGTTGCCATCATAAAGCAACGTATTTGTGTTGGACATGAATGGGCTGCATTTGAAAGGATTTCTTGCTATTTCTTTAATTCTGACACCAAATGTGAAAAAGGAATTTGTTCTTAACATCAAAGCTTTACCATGACACCTGAGGTTTTATTTATGCATCCAGCACACAGTTCATGAGAGTCAAGGGTGTCTGTACATGTCAGCTCAGCTGCATTCTCCCCATTGTCCACCTTCTCCTTCAGATCCTTCCACCTAGTGTCTAGTGCCTTCTCTATGTCCAGCTGTGTGCTGGGCACTGAGGGATACCAGAAATGGAAGACATGGTTTCTAACTTTGAGACACATTTGGGAACTTAAGTGACAATGCTCAACTTAGTGGTAACACACAGTCAGTATCGGAAAAGTCCCCAAGCAGGAAGGATTGGATGTGCCAGAGAATCAGGGCTTTACTCCAGGCTGGACTAGCCAGGGAGAACTTTTTAGATCAGGGATCCCTTTCTAGAGGGTAGGATTTGAGCTAGAGAAAGAAGAAAGGGTAACTGCAGTCAGGGGAGCCAATCGAGCAAAGGTGTGGAAGTCGCTGTTCACGTGCCCTGGGTGGAGCTTGTCTGAGAGGCCCCGTGCAGGTTTGGTCTAGTGCAGGGGAGGGGCTGGGAGATGAACTGAGAGAGAAGCGTCGTGGCTAGGAGTGGAGACCATGCTTGGGTGCAATCTCATAGTTATTGGGTGCTCCCCAGGCCATGGGTAGGACACCCATAAGAGGAGTCTAGCCTCTCCTTCCCACTGTGGAGAAGACAAGAACCTGGGCTAACATCCTACCCTGAGACCTAGTACCCAGCTAAGACAGTCTTGTGCTGGGATACACAGGCTGTAGCTGTTTCTGGTATTTTGTTGCCTTTGTTCTTCTGCAAACAGTGCCAGCCACGCTGTGGGCCTGTAGGAAAGAGGGTGTTGTTGGCTGCAGAGCCATAAGAGTTCATGCTCCTGAACTTTCCTGTCTTCTGCAGGAGGCTGCGGGCCTGTCCTCCCTGAAGCCCAAGCTGGACGAGTTGGGTGTCCCCCTCTATGCAGTAGTGAAGGAGCAGATCGGGACTGAAGTGAAGGACTTCCAGCCTTATTTCAAAGGAGAAATCTTCCTGGATGAGAAGGTGCATGTGCTGTGAGCCTGTGGGCCAGACTGGTGGGGACTGCTTGCAGGTGTGGAGGGTTCGGTGGCCCAGGGTGTGTCTTGCCTGGAGCTGGAGGCTGGCCTCCCTTTCAGCTGCCCGAACTTGCAGGAGTTTTCCCAGCCCTCTGAGCAGAGCATGATTGAACACTTACGAGCTCTTTTCTCAGTGATCGCTTGAGCCTTTCCTGATTTGTGACCTGGGAACAGGAGCCTAGGAAATGCAGTCAGCCCTCCGCATCCACGGGTTCCAATCCACAGATTCAGCCAACTGAGCATGGAAAGGCTGTGATGGTTGCATCTGTACTGAAAACATACAACTTTTTTCTTGTCATTATTCCCTAAACGATACAGTATAACAACTATTTACATAGCATTTACATTGTATTAGGTATTGTAAGTAATCTAGAGATGATTTAAAGTATACGGGAGGTGTGTGTAGGTTACATGCAAATACTCTGCCATTTTATATAAGGGACTTGAGCATCCACAGATTTTGGTGTCCTCTGGGGTCCTGGAACCAGTTCAGTCCCCCACAGATATTGAGGGATGACTGTACCTGAAACCCCACTGGGTTCCCCTCTCAGCCCCTGTCCCTTAATTCGTTGCAGCCATATTTCTTTCCCCTCTACTCTTATCTCTGCGGAATGTAGGACTGTTATTGCCCTCTCAAGCACAAGAACCCTGTGTATCCGTAGCAAGAGGCTGGAGTCAGGGTGGAAATCTGTCTCCCTAGACTGGGCCTGCCTTGAGTTTGGAAAGCTGGCGGAGTGCTCTTGGGTGGAGCTGTGTGTGTGTTGGGTCGGGGGAAGGACACGAGCCAGCAGGCTCTGGGTCTTGAAGAACGAATGCCCTATTGGGAACCTTTCCTCCTTGGGGAAGGCAGGCATACAGGCTACTCATATGGGATCTGTCTTTCTTAATCCTACAGAAAAAATTCTACGGTCCCCAGAGGCGGAAGATGATGTTTATGGGATTTGTCCGCCTGGGTGTCTGGTACAACTTCTTCCGGGCCTGGAACGGAGGCTTCTCTGGAAACCTGGAAGGCGAAGGCTTCATCCTTGGGGGAGTTTTTGTGGTGGGGTCAGGAAAGCAGGTGAATCCCTAGTGTTCGCTTGTGGGTCTGTGGCTGTCTGTATCTGTGAGTGCGAGACCCCAATGGGGAGGTGACTTTCCCTACTTGGAGTCTCCCAGTCTTCCTTCCAGAAAGCCAGGGAATATGAGGAAGGGGAATTATCGTTTATCATATCTGCTCTCATTTATCATGATGTGCTCTCTTGGCACCTCACACGTGAGTCTCCGTACTCATCACCGTAATGTCATGAGACAGCCTGAGAGTTTTACAGGTGAGTAACTTGGGACGGAGGAGGTGAGTGACGACACCAGGGAGCACAGCTCATCAGTGGCGCCGCGGGGCCCAAACCCAGGTTTTCTAATTTCAAGTTTTCTGTGCTCTGGATGTTAGCCCAGGGCCAGTCTTCCTCAGCAAAAGGAGGAGGATTGCTGACAGATGTTAGCTCAGGGCTGATCTTCCTCACAAAAAAAAAAAAACAAAAAAAACTTTTCTGTGCTCAAACGAAAGCATAGTTTTTGTTGTGTCAAGAATTTACTCCCTCACAGTGTTCCCAGGTCATCAAGGATGAACAATAGAGAAACTTGAAGAGGAAAGAAGCAATACAAACAGGCCCAGTTAGGGGAAGTGGCAAGTTGGGGAGGTGGTGCGTTTCCCTTTTCCCTGGTGTCAGGGCCACCCCTGGAGAAGTAGCAGCCCTCTCAGTGGACGGGCCATTTGGGCCCTGGTTATGAGGATCCAGACTCAGCACGGGGGCTCTTGGGGAAGGCATGGAAAAGTGAGGGCTCTGTGGGCCCAGGAGGCAAGTGGGTGGATGCTCCATGTCAGACTCTGGGCGGCCTGGAGCCGTGGCGACACCCCCCACGGGAGGGCAGTGCCGGGTGGACGCAGAGCAGGGATGGGGTCAAGTGGATGCAGGCTCGAGGGGAGGGCAGCAGGACCTGGAGACTGGTGGCCTGACTTCTAGGCCTATCTCTACCAACCTTGGGCATGACATTAATGCCTGGCATCATCTGTAAAAGGACGGGGTTGCCTGCACTGATGGATCTCACTACTAACATCGATCGTTGCATACTTTTCCCAATTTGGGAGGAATAAAAGCTAGTGGGAATAGAAATCCTTCAATCTTCAGCTTTATTTCTAACCTCTTCCTTTTAAACCTTGGTATCTGCTGTTGCTTGTCTGTATTTGAATCTAGCATGAATTGGTGTGTGATTGAACATAAACCTCTGTGGTAACTTGCTGGTAAATATATCAAAATGTCTTAGTGATAATGGCTGCCAGCAAGTACCTGCCTTGTTCCAGGTGCTCGTATACATGATCTCTTGTCTTCCTCATAACCAGTCTGGGATGTTAGGTCTTTCTATTCCCATCTACACATAAGGAAGTGGGCCTCGAGTTATGAAATAACTCAGCCAAAGATACACTGCTAGTAAGTGTATGGAATGAGACAATGGAAATGAGACTCAGGAACTCAGATCTGTCCTATCCCAGAGTCTCTGCCCTTCCCCAGCCCAGAGCCTCTCTTCGGAGGTGGTTCCCAAAGAGCCCTTCCAGATGCCCCTGCCCTTGGGCAGGCCACTCCTCAGAGGGTCCCTCAGCCTCTTCCCACCCCGGCACTCTGGGACTCCATCCCCTTCCTACCTCGGCCTCCCCTCAGCCTCCAGGGCAGGGCCTGGCCCAGCGGCCAGCCTTCTCTTGCCTGGCAGTGACTCATCTGGTGCTCACGGGCTCCCAAGCCTGGCTGGCATGCTCCTGCTGTTGCTAGGTGTGTTGTTTGACTTTGTTGGTGCTCCCTGGAGCTCCTTCCTTCTCCCTTCCTGGTGGAAGGTTGACCCAGCTGGTGAGCTTCAGGACCTTCCACTTCAGGGAACACAGAAAGCTCCGTGCTTCTTGAGAGCAGAGGTTTTGCAGTTCCTCTGTGCCAGGTGCCACTCGGTGGGGGTTTCCTTTGTAATAATAATCTTTAAAGCATACTTACTTTAAGGAAGAAGCATGTTTTCAACATGGAAAATTTGAAAATGAAACAGTAGAAGGTGGAGAGAGCCATCCTGTCATCTGAACCACCACGGACAACCTATTAGAACAGAGCCGAGCTGAGAGGCCTTTGGTGTTGTTTTTAGAAAAGGATATCTTATTAAACTAGATGTTCTTTTTTCATTTAACAGTATATCATGAATATTTCCCCATGTTATTATATATTTCTCCTTAGTATTTTTTTTTTAAAGATTTTATTTATTTATTTATTTTCCCCCAAAGCCCCAGTAGATAGTTGTATGTCGTAGCTGCACATCCTTCTAGTTGCTGTATGTGGGACGCGGCCTCAGCATGGCCGGAGAAGCGGTGCGTCGGTGCACGCCCGGGATCTGAACCCGGGCCGCCAGCAGCGGAGCGCGCGCACTTAACCGCTAAGCCACGGGGCCGGCCCATCCTCCTTAGTATTTTTGATGTCTGCATACTGCTTTATTGAGCAAGTGAATCTAGTTTCCTGATCTACTTCCCTGTGGTTACCACAGTGTGGTGGGACTTCTTGTTTTTTTAAAGTCTTTATAAATAATAGTACAATGAACATGTTTACAGATGTTTATTTTTTTAATTTAAGATGAGTTCCCAAATGCTATGGGTCAAAGAACTCTTTAACAAGGATGTGTTGATGCTGATCTCAAACACATTATTGTATCTTTCTTGCCCTGTTAGGGAGCTTTGGGGTGTGCTGTGTCTTGGTGCGTTTTGCTTCACCGTATCAGAAGTGGGTGGCCTCCAGTTTCTTAGGAAAACTAAAGTAAAGAGAGGGCCCCCTTTGTCAGGTGGTCATTCAACGCCTGCCCAAGTCTGACCTCTGGGCTCCACTCCACACCTGCAGGCTTTTCTGTGTGAGCTCATTCTCTTCTCCTCACCCAGAATGTTCTTTGCCTCCCTTTACCTGTAGAGAGCCTGTTTCCCTTCCTGCTTCATCACCTGTGAAGGCTTTCCTAACCCCTACCTGTCTAATCATCCTGACTTCTTGCTCCCAGAGTGCTGCTTGTGCAGTCCAGATTCTGTGATGTTGCACAGGACCGACCTTCCCCAGAAGACTGGCTCCACAAGGGCAGAGCCAGGACCGATTCAGATCTCTGTTCCCTGCTGCCCAAGTGCACGGCTTGATGGACAGCTGCCGCTCAGGGCCTGTCTCACCAATGAGTGCCTCAGGCTGAGGACTGATGTTCTCTCTTGTTTCCTTTCAGGGCATTCTTCTTGAGCACCGAGAAAAAGAATTTGGAGACAAAGTAAACCCAGTTTCTGTTCTGGAAGCTGCTGGAAAGATCAAGCCACAGACTTCGGCCTCAGAGAAAATATGATTGTGTGAAACTTTCCAGCTCAGGAATAACCAGGGGCACTCACGTGTGTTCCTGGGATGTGTTCTCTCTCTACTCATGTCCCTAAAGAGTTAGAAACCCACTTACGCCATATTCCCAGTATAGATCATTAACGTATTTTAATATCGTACTCTATTTAGGCCCAATAAGGCACAGTAGCCCCCAAACAAGACTGATAAAATCTAAGAAACTAATGAGAGTTATTTCAGCTAAAATTTGGAAACTATGAGGCTTAAAGTTAACTGCTGCACCTTATTGCAAACATCGTATTTGAGTGCTGTTATTTGAAATGATTTTTATTTTCATGTCTTCAGAAATCTAAGAAAAGTTGGTGATTGACTTGAAGATTAAGGATATAAGGTTTCTGGTTTGTGTTTTCTATTAATGGCTTGTTATATAATGTTAAAGTAATACTCATAAAAGAATTGATGTGCTCCGGAGGGCTTGATAAAGGTGAAATATAAACTGAAATCTATTTTTTGATTGTCTTCCATTCTAACCTCATAAACCTCATTGTTTTTTTAGAAGAAATGATCATCTCTGGATCTGATAAAATGATGCATCAGAATTTTTCTGTAATACAATTTTTTTCTGATAAAACTAACAATAAAAATATTTACCATAATGATGGCTGAATTTAAATCAGTAGTGCCAAAGACACTGAACCTGAAAAATCAGTATTTTCCATGTGTAAGGGGTGAGAGGTGGGGGAGTTCCTCTAGTTCTAATGATCTAAGAGGTTTGCAAATGACCAGAGAAATGCATCCTGTCATTTCATGTTAGTGATTTTGCTGTCTTTCCTAAAGGAATGACTTTGGTATTTAAAATTGGTAGCTGCTTTCCTACTGATGGTCTTTTAGCCTAATTTGGGAAGCAGGAAAAGGGACAGAGAGGATGTAATATAATTTAATTCATTAATTATTATGTTTGAAATTTTGTCATGTGAATAAGTATGAGGTGAGCAAGAACTCACAGGGAGCCCTGCCCTAGGGAGTGTGCTCAAGGCAGCAAGTCAGCCCAGGACTTGCCCAGGAGTAGGCAGGCGGGGATGGGAGCCCAAAGAGGGGACAGGGGAGCAGACCAGCCAGCAGGAGGGATGTCAGCGTTTATCCAGGAAAGCAAGAATGGAGACAGGTTGGAGGTAAAGCTGGGAAAGTAGGAGTGTCAGCACTGAGCGTGCGGAGTGAGTAGGCGTGGCTGGTCCAGGACTAGGATGGGACTGGGTCTGACTTCACGTGATGGCAGCTGCATGGTGTGTGCAAGGCCCGAGAAGGGCTGGGCTTCTGCAGACTTGGAGGTAACGCTCTTCAGTACTTGGACAGGGTCAGTGTAGTGACTCATCCCTCAGTAGCTGTGATCTCAGGCACTCGGCTACTCAGCATAACTCAGATGAACATTCTTTGGTGCCTAGAAGACACTTATTCTGAAATGATTTTCTTGCAATTAAAGAAGAGCAGAGCCTGCGAGGACATTGCAGCAATGGATGTGTTATTGTGATCTCCTTCACCAACTGTCTTGTTCCTGGTCCTCATGTGCAGAGTGGTCTTCTCTCTGTCATTAGCATGGCATTATGGGAAGAGCACCAGATTGAGTCATGAGGGGGGTTCAAGTTCTAGTTTAACAGTGTGACTTGGAGCAAAGCTCTGACCCTCAGCTCTCTCTGGTGAAATGGGCATAATAATTCCTGTCTACCGTTCAGGGCTGTTCATTAGAAGTCGTTGAGGGAATGATAAACATTATAAAATGACACTTCTCAAACTTTAGTCTACACGCTCATCACCTAAGGATCTTGTTAAAATGGAGGTGGTTAAAGACAAGCCAGACACTAGTTAAAGGCAGTAAAGACAGATTTTATTCAGTAACTACAGCAGTATGGGCGAGGCCTCAGTATGGAACTGAGCTCAACTGGGCTCTGTGCAGAGGTGACTGGAACTTTAAAGGGAGATGAAGGAGTAGGGAGGGGGGACAAGTGGGGGCTTGAGCAGTCAGAGAAGTGGAAAATGACAAAGAGCGGGTTGAGGGCATTGGTGGATGTAATTAGGTTCTCTGTGTCTGCTAACTGGCTAACTTGTCAGGTTAGGCTTCTACCCTCTCACAGAAACTGGAAGATAGAGCCCTGTTTGTCCTGATGGTTACATTTCAAAGGGATGGCCCCCAGGTCCTTGAGAAAGATACTCCTGGGTTTCAGAGATACATATACATCTCAAAAGGACAGAAAAAGGATTTACAATCACAAGTTTTTTTAAGTAAATACTCTAAGAAAAGGGAGGTCAGAGGCCTATGGTCAGGTGTTTGGCTGGAACAAACGGTAAGTTCTTTTGGCAGCCTGGAGGTTTCCCAGGCAGGGTCTCAAGGGGGGTTGGGTTGTCCCGGGGAAACAGCCTTGAGCTGCTAGAAACTGCTAGTGTTTATTCAGGTCTCCTAGCGTGGCCGGTGGACAAAATTGTTTGTGCTGAAAAGTGTTACAGTTCTCAAGACTGGGGGGGGCTGGAGTTTCTGCGTTTCTAACCAGTGCCTGGTGATCTTGATGTTCTACTGGTCCATGGCTCACACTTCGAGAAGCAAGAATCTAAAAAACCCTACAAATCAAAGACATTAGTATCTGTGGGCTTTGGACTTGAAGCTTCAGCAGACTTTGACAAGCATTAACAGGTTCTCTTTTCTTTATTTGATTAACAAATTGAGAATCAATAATAATGCAAATTATCAAGACAATGTAAGAAAGAACCTTGCTGCAAAGCTGATGGTCTCAATTTGGATTCACAGTAGAACCACTTGGGAGAGGTTTAAAAAAATTCTGATGCCCAATCCACACCCCGAGGCCCATTAAACCAGTATCTCTGGGATGGGACCTAGGCAACAATATTTCTTAAAGCTCCTGGGTGATTCCAATATGTAACCAAAGTTGAGAACCATCTGAAGAGAACTCAGTGTCAAGTAAAAACTGGACTTTGTTGATGACCGAATCACTAACCAATCAATGAAGTACAAGTCTAATCTTTTGCCTGATGACCGAATCTCAAGCCAGTTGATGAAGTACAAACAATCTGACCTTTCTAACACCAGTGAACTCTTTAATGCAACTCACCTCATCCTCTTTTTTTCCCATAAAAACTCTAAGCCCCTCTCCTGTAATTGGAACATATTTCGGGTTTCTACCCGAATCTGTTTCCCAAATTGCAATTCTAATTGCCCAAATAAATATCTGCTGTTTCAATTGTAGTGATTTTTCCTCAGCCAACATTTCTTGGCATAGTCAGCAGAATCCAGAGCAGCTGACCCCGGACCCCCAGCACCATACCTCCACGGGACCCTTGTTCTCTAGTGTTTCCACCGGTGAGCCTCAGAGTTCCCACAGTAAGTTCTTCTGGATCTGAACCTCCTATTTCGTTAGTTGAGGTTAAGACCAGATTTTATTTGGGTGGACTAAACAGTTCTGTCCTCACTCCTTTGGAGGAAAGGATTCCATCCTCGCCTTAACTAGGCAGAGGATTTGAGTTTAAGGACTTCCTTCGGTGAATGTTATTGTGGCTCTAGTAGTTTTCCATTTTATTAAAGTGGCCACATTCTCTTACAATTTGAAATTCAGCTGTTCTTGATAACAAACGCAGACCCCTTAGCTTCTCCTGTCATCTAAATGAGGGTCCTCTGACTCCGAAGGTAAGAGACATTGCTCCTTCCAACCCCTTTCGGGGTGTTTCCAGGTGACTAGAAACCTAGCAGAAGTGTGAGGACTCTGTCCGTGACATGCAGCAGTCTCACAGGGCCTCCCAACAGAAGGACATCCCCTGTTCCTCGGTCAGAAGTACCTCCGTAAGCTTGTCCAGGAGGTACACATAAAGGACTGGTCATCCTAGTACCTTGAGCAACCTGACATGGCTTAGTGTCCAAGATTTTCTGAGACACATAAGAGAGAGACCAACAGCCCATTGGTGACACTTTGGGAGGTGGTCCTCATAAGCAGCGCATACCTGACCCAAAACACATAGCCTCCTGCCTTGGTCATCCAAGAACAGCCCTCTCTAAATTATGGGGAACAATTGATCTAGAACAACCATAAATGATCAACCTCCCTTGAGAACTCCAGCTCATTTTATATTTAAGAACTATGGTCCTTCCTCTTGTAAATTTGTGTCCCAGTGGACAGATAATACTAAAGATGATGTAAAATTACAGTGGCCACTTTGGGGCTCCTTTCAGCTTCCAAAACTTGTCTTTCCACACACTAGATTTGAGAACCATGGACCATACAAATTAAATGCAATCTTTAATTTCTAAAGAGTCAAGTGTGCCACCTTTTGGCATACTGCTTAAAAACTATGGTCCAGAAGCCATAAATATTTACCCAAAAAACCCCAGCAAGACCTTACTAAGCTTGTTTTGTATTGTGAGAGCTTGGCTTGGTAACAGTGAGGTTGGGGGCCAAAATATGGTTGAGCAGAAATGTGGGTAGCACCGCATTTGTAGCCAGATATGGCTAGGCAGAAATTGGGGTTAAAACTCCATTTGCAGCTAAGGTCCTGCCAGACTGCTGCCAGACCTCACAGGAATTACATTGGCCATTAGCAGGAATGTTCCAATTAGATAAAATCATTTAAGAAGTGCACTTAAAAGCACAGTCTTCAAAATTCCCAAATAGCCTTATTGAAAGTTTCATTGCAGGGGCCAGGGCCGGCCCTGTGGCTTGGTGGTTAAGTGCACGCGCTGCGATGCTGGTGGCCCGGGTTCGGATCCCGGGTGCGCATCGAGGCACCACTTCTCCGTTCATCCTGAGGCCGAGTCCCACATACAGCAACTAGAAGGATGTGCAGCTACGACACACAACTATCCACTGGGGCTTTGGGGGGAAAAATTAAAAAAAAAAAAAATCTTAAAAAAAAAAAAAAAAGAAAGTTTCATTGCAAAAAGCTAATGAAAAATTAAGATATAAGAGGTACGTAAAAGAAAGACAAACAAAAGTCTGTTACGTTAATGGCTTCACAGACACACCATATCTACCTTTGAAGGAGGGCCTCCTATGAGCCCCTCCCAAAGTTAATAAGACTCAGAGATTTTCTGGGAAACTGCTACATTATTCCCTTAAACAGTCAAGCGGAAACTAAAATTAAAAATTAATGGAGTTAATACTGATAGAAATATTTACTGTTTGTCCTGGCTAAAACCTGACAAGATATTTGAAAGGATTTAGTAACTTATGATCAGAAATTTGGCCAAACTGAAAGCTGATATTCAGAGCCTGATAGGATTGTTTTATGTATATAGGCACTCCTCCCTAAGTTAAAATAAAACTATGTACCCAGAGGGAAAGAAGCAAATTAGGGGTGATGTAGTTGGACAGGTTGATCAACCTATGATGTCATTTAAGTTACAACCCAATTTCCCAGGAATTGAGAGCAACTGTCCTTTTATCTTATCTTTGCAAAACTGGAAATGCAGCTCTAGAGAGAAATGGATATAGAAGCAACCTTGTCCAAAATCTAGCATCTTAAGTGTTTTCTCCACAATTATTAGTTTAAAAAAAAAAAAAAAAAAAAAAAGCTTTAGCTATCTAAGCAGATATCCTTACTTTATTCTATCTGCCAGAAACACAGTTTGGACCCAACTGTTCTTTTATAAACTACTGAG